TCTCTTCCTCAAAAATAAAACAGAGTTATGGGGAGGCATTTGTAAAGAAAGCTATATTTTAATCACTTCAATCCAAGCACGGCAATAATGCCAAAAAGACACAAGGGTGAAATTGTATGTGAAAAAGAGAATAAGATTGTTTGTTAATCTAGGACCCAAGGTTAAAGAGCAAAAACATTGATAAACTGCTAATCCTTTTCAAAAGACCAACAAAATATGTGAACTATTTGATAGGTTTTCTCTCCACATTCAACAAATCTTTACTGAAGACAGAATCCTATGAAGGACAATTAAAAATCAAAAAAATGTCATTTCCTTTTTTTTTTTTTTTTTCACAATGATTCTTCTGTTAAGAGTCACTAAAGTAAATTATGAATTAAGTTGTTGTAAAATATAAGAGAAGGAACTGAAAAAAGATTTCCTGGATAATAGATAATAAAATTTTTTAATCATTTCTAAGAGTTTAAATGGTTCAAAGTTCTGGAAAACAACTTCTCAAGGAGTTTGTTCCACAAAAGTAAGGAAATGCATATCATTGGAACATGAAGGCAATGAATATGATATATATATATATATATATATAAATGGTGGGTCCTAGTTGCAATGTTTTGAACTAATGAAGAATTAAGAAATATAGTTCAAATCTGATCAAGTTCATTATGGAAAAATCAATATAATCAAAATGATATGTTGATGTAGTTTGTATTTTGGGGAAAAGAATTAAGTTGAAAACACCCTCAATGTTGAATTCTGTCAAGAGAGTGGAAAGTGATAATTCTCTAGCTCCATATATATATATATATATATATATATATATATATATAATATAAATAAAAATTTCTGCATTGTTTTTTATAATAAAACCCGCATTTTTTTTTACTGTTATTTTCCCACCATATAATAGAAACTATGATTCATTTTAAATAAATATATTTGTTTAATTATTTTGATTGCTTTCTGGTTTTGCTACTATGAAAATACAAAATGCAAAGAAAGTAAACATTGGTTTTTTTTAGGTTTTTTTTTTTTTTTTTAACACTCAGTTGAATATTTTTTGTTTCAGAATTTTCAAAAATTGAATTGGTGGGCCCTAAAATTAAAGGATCTTTAGAGAATAGTAAGCAGACAGTGAAAGTAGTTCTTGGTTTTTGGAAAAAAAAAAAAGTCCTAAAACTTAGAACATTCAGTCCATGTTCTTTTATTATTAAGATTCAACATTCTTGGTTTAATGCAGTATTGGAAAAATTTATATTGTCTGAGAAAATATTTTTCTGTTATTCAATCAAGATTAATTTTTTTTTACCATTAATAGTTTTGAAAGGTAACATTTTTCAATATGGTTTTTTTAGTTTAAAATTTATACTGTTTCCTGATTTCATTTAAAAGATTAGATAAATTTTTTTTTTTGGAATCATTTTTCCCAAGTATCCCAATGTGAGAACCTTCAGATTTCAATGTAAAAAAAAAGAAGAATAAAAAAAAAAGGACCTTCACAGAATATTTAAATTGCATTTAACTTTTTTGATTTTAGTATCTCCAAGCAAGAAATTCACAGTTGCCTTCTAGATTGATTTCCAATCCAGTTAAAATCTAAAATCTCTATAAGAATAGAGCATATAGTTGCATGTAGCTAGTTCAACTAAGGGATTTAAAATCAATGAACTAACATGTTTAAATTCATTAATCAAACTGCAAAACCATTAAACTATCTGAACAATTCATATGAAAACATTTATAGAAAAAACAGGGAAGTGACTATTCAAAACTGAGAAAATGAATGAGTGAGGATCAATTAATTACTTTCCTTCTTTGAATTTTGTCAAGAATCAAGATATATAACAAAACTGAAGTTACTAATGTGGCAATAACATTCATATACATGGTCAAATGTTGGTTTATAAATGTTTGTAAGATGAACTAGACAAAAGTTGTCTATTTTCAACACAGTGAAATAGATTTTTCAGTAGCAATAGAATACAACCTGTTCAATATAATCATTGTTTGTATGTCAATGGGAAAATTTGAGTCAACAAGACAGCATCAATGGAAACCAAAGTAATAGAGAAGCTGAAATTTATGTTGATGCCATTTTTTTTTCCTGTAGGCAGAAATTTTTCTCTATGGTGCTTAAATGAGTACAATTTTGTTTTAACAATGTGAAACAATGAAACAGTTACAGATATTTAGTCACAGCCTGAACAAATTCAAATGGTAGCCATTAATACATTAGCAGAGGACCTGGAGAAATGGAAATTTTAATATTATGGAATATTCTTCCAACTGAAGCAATTTTTTTTTTATTATCAGATGAATTAATCAGTTGTTTGCATTTCTTAAGTGTTGTGGTTTCTGTTATTTAGTACAGAAAATGATTCTATATTGCTAGTCCACAATATTAGCTCAAAGCCTTAACCATTGATCTTAGGAAAGGAAATGTTTGAATAATGCAGAGTGTTAAAGTTTAATATTTCTTGTCTGTACTTTTTTTTATCCATTTATGGTTCTGGGTATAATATAGGACATTTTTTTTTCACAATGATGTTTTTCCTGAAAAGGGCCCAAGTTTAGAATTTGAAGTAAGAGGCATAACAATTTGCAGTTTGGGGGAAATAATCTCTGGCATAAGGTTTGATCAATTTAAGATTCTGAAGATATGGAAAATTTGTTGATAGTTGGTTCCATAAAACAGCAGTTCATGGGAAAAGATATATGGAACTTATGAACCAATGGAAGTAATGGGAATGACAGTGGTAAAAAAATGTAAATGTGCTTTTGGTTTTTTTAAATGTGAAGGTTCAAACACAAAACTTAGGAATGTTAGTTTGTATGAACACTTTCCATGGAATGAAATAAGAGCAATGATGATGATGATGCTGATTTTGTCTGTGATGAATGATAAAGCTGCTGAAAATAATTCATCATAATAATGCTGATGAATATTTTTTTAAAGATCCTTTATGAATTATGAACCTTCCAGCTGATAAAGGTCATGGTTCCTTCTTTTTTTCCTGAGCTTATGATCTTGTAACAGTAGAGGATAGCAGGGGGAGCATTTTTCCTTTCAATGGTACAGGGATCTGATACATTTTCCAGTATTCCTCCAACATGAGTTCCACTTGAGGTTTTCTTGAGATTAACTCCCAATAAGAGCACAAGACATGGAAAGGAAAAGGGAACATCATCAGTTTGATTTTGAAATATTACTTTTTCTCATCTCTACCATTATTTTTAATTTAAATTTCAAGATCTTTATCTTGTATTCTCATATTCTTTAAAGATAAATTGTTATCATAAAAAATCATATCTCTAAGAAAAATCCCATTTGTTTCTATTTTTTAATCAATGTCTGTGTTTTTAGTTTTTATAAATCTGTGATGATGAATGGTACTAAATCCCAAAAGAATTACCACATGGTCAAAACCATGCCACCAATGATTATTGCAATGGATTATAATTAAAAAAAAAAAAAAAAAAACATGCACCAAATAATATTAAACTTACTAACTGAAAATAATTTAAGAAAAGAAAAGAAAAGTATCAAAAGAATAAGACACAATATTTTGACAGTATAACTGCTTTTATCAAGAAATATTTAAAATATAGGTACCTCCACGAGATCGCTAAAAAAAAGAGCATAGCATGATGAAAAAGACGCCAAACTTCACGAAAACAAAATTTTATCGTCTAAATGTTTGTTATTGTTAAGAGGAAAGATCAAAGTATTTGGGGGGTATTTTTTCCATTTTTGAATCGTTCCTAGCACGTCCGAAATTTTCGTTAAAAATCTAGTTTTTTTTTTGAGTCAGCAAAATTGACCATTTTTTTCCATTTTAAATAAAAACTGGAAATCTCACTTTGAAATTCTTTTAAATATCAATTATCATTTTTTCAAAACTTATTTTAAGAAAATCAGAAATTATAATGTTTATTTAAAATATTTTGAACCAAACTTAACTTAGCTTTTGTGCCAAAAAGATGTAATTTGAAAATAAAACAAAGCAGGTCATAAACTTTCGCGTCTCTTGACATGTGATGAATGATATATTTACGAATTCCATGAGGCTAATTTGTTCTACGGAAGGAGAAAAGTGAAATAATTTACATTTACGTGAACAAATTATTTACCCCGTTATTTTTAACAAAAACTTTCAGCGGTCTAATTTTTTTTTTTTTTGTACTTAGCTTTCACCTTTACGTTTATGATGCTTTATGGGAAATATATTGTAAAGAAATTAAAATAAAACTGTTAAGAGTGACATTAAATTTCATATTTCTTAAGAAAGGTATCTAATTAATTTATAGGTACCTTTCTTATGAAATTTTATCAGAATTGTACATAAAATACTATAATTTTATGTACATTTATTACATTCTACTGTTATTTGTATTTGCATTCATTTTATTATTAATTTTGATATTTCATTTATGGAAAAATGTCGTAACTGAGATTAATATAAAAATAAGATCATATAAATTTCATAAGATGATACTGATACTTGTAGGTACCCTTCTCAGTTGAAATTGAAAAATCAAATTAACTTCTCCACACGTGTTTCGCAAAAGTAAAGGCCTTAACAGCGGAGAACAATGCTTAACTCAAATAACGCAACTTAATTATATTCTGGTTGGTCTTCCGTATTTTATAATTACAGCTCGATTATAAACACAAAATTACATTTCTTAATTACTGGGGATCTTCTGATTAGTCAAAATGATACAATTTACAACGCGCTAAAAAAAAAAAGATCTATCTCATAAGGACACTTATGAAAGCCGATGCGGCTTTTAACTAATTTTATAATATTTTAACAACTTAAATGTAAAATCTATTATAATTAATGAAATAACAAATAATTGTATTAAAAAT